TATATCAGGTTATTTATTGTCTCACTAGTCCATTTCTCTTTAGATCACATATATATATCATATTTTAAAATATACATGTATTTTTGGGGGGCTGTCGTGGCCTAGAGGTTAAGGTGTTCACCTCTAATTCATTCAAAGATCCCGGGCTCTCATATGACCCTATGCGGTTGCGAGCGCCGTAAAACACTTATTTTAAAGAAAAATTGTGTTAAACCAAACTTTCCCCGTCAGTAAAGTATCACAGTATCTACAGTCATAATTGTGACATTTCGTGTCCCCCCCCCGCCCCGTCAAGAATAATGTCTGTTTGGGCTATTCCGGGGATCCTTGTGTGAATAATTAATCAGATCATCCGCTGGATCGCTGGCGTACGGGCTTCTAATCTTACTTACTCGAGTTCACGGCTTATTGCCTATGTTGCGTCACAGAATTCCCCACGTCACCAGTATTTGCGCACTCGGTACGTGATCCGTTCCGACCTCTGTTGTGACATGGTCTGAACTCCTCGTAATAACTGTAACAATAATATTAATATGATAATGATGATAATTCTAATGTGATGATGTGGGTGGTTGGCGGGTGCTCTGTTGTGGTTCGCTCCTTCTTTCCTATCAAGCATCTATCGTCCTTATCTCCCCTCCTTCTTTTTTGGTATTAATTGTTGCTCTCTTGTAACACCTCTAATCTTCGACACTTATATGACCTTATTGTGTAGCAAGTGCCGTAGAATTCTTATTAAACTAATGTGATGATAATAGTAGTAGTATTAGTGATAGTGATAATAATAATAACAATAATAGATAATAATAATGATAATAATACTAATAATGATAATAATAATAATAATAATAATAATAATAATAATAATAATAATAGCAATAATGATAATAATAATAGTTTGCAGTTATATTGTGTACTATCCCATACTAGTAGTAGTCGTAGTTGTAGTTGTAAAAGAAGTAGCAGTAGTAGTAATAATGATAACATTAATACAATAATACATTGCATGCAATATAGCGTATTTCCTTACTATGCTCAATGCGCTTTATAAGACATACTAAGTAGCGATTGCACACAGAAGACCTGAATTCAATCCCTGTCTGTTTAATTGTGTGTTTGTTCGTCTTTCTACGGGGAGTCTGTTTCTCAATCACTCAAGAGTCCGCCTCCTAAATGATCTAAATTGTGTCAACAGGGGCTTAAGTAGGTTTGCGGCCTGTCTGCATTAATTGGTTTGCACAATTTGCAACATCAGCAGTATTTGTGAACTCAATGGTTTCTGTCGGTCTGCCTGCCTGCCTGCCTGCCTGTCTGTCTGTCTGTCTGTCTGTCTGTCTGTCTGTCTGTCTGTCTGTCTGTCTGTCTGTCTGTCTGTCTCTCTGTCTGTCTCTCTCTCTGTCTCTCTCTCTCTGTCTCTCTCTGTGTCTCTGTCTCTCTCTCTCTCTGTCTCTCTCTCTCTCTGTCTGTCTGTCTGTCTGTCTGTCTGTCTCTCTCTCTCTCTCTCTCTCTCTCTCTCTCTCTCTCTCTCTCTCTCTCTCTCTCTCTCTCTCTCTCTCTCTCTCTCTCTCTCTCTCTCTCTCTCTCTCTCTCTGGGTGGTTGGCTGGTGCTTTGGTGTGGTTTGCCCCTTCTTACCTATCAAATATCTGCCGTCCTGATCCCTACTCCTTTTTTTGTGTGTGTTTGTTACTCTCTTGTAACACCTTTAATCTTCATCTCTTTTGTAACCTTACTGTGTTGCAAATGCCGGAAAACCTCTTACTGAAACTAACTTTGTTGATTAGTTTCTATTCTTTGTGTATGTGTATGGCGCGCGCGCGCGTGTGTGTGTGTGCGTGTGTGCGTGCGCGCGCGCAGATTTCGACTCATTTTTATTGAAGCCGTCGCTATCTATTGCTGTTCTCCGTTCTGTCTCCATGCTGCTTTTGCCCTAAAGTGCAATGATTAATGATTATAACATGTTCCTATTGTACTATAATCAGCGGCTTGTAATCTCTGCTGCTGTCCCTGAGAGGTTCTGATTCACTTGTGGTGTTTGATAATGTCTCATCAGCAATATCTGTTACTAGTTCTCTACCGTGCATCTTCACACACTGTCACAAGTTCTCTTTCGTTCACCTTCACACACACACACACACACTCTCTCTCTCTCTC